ATGTAATTTAAAATAATAATATTTGTATCATTTAATGCTATATTTTATTATGTATATATAATTAATTAAAATAATGTAATGTAAAAAAATAATTGAAAGCTTAATAAAATTATTAAGCATTTTAATGTATTTTCCAATTATTCATACAGTTGAAGTCAGAACTATTAGTCTCCCTGTTTATTTTTTCTTCAATTTCTGTTTCGGGGAGAATATTTTTTCAACACATTTCTAAACATAATAGTTTTAATAACTCTTCTCTAATAACTGATTTATTTTATCTTTGCCATGATGACAGTAAATAATATTTTACTAAATATTTTTCAAGACACTTCTACACAGCTTAAAGTGACATTTAAAGGCTTAACTATGTTAATTAGGATAACTAGGCAGGTTAGGGTAATTAAACTAATTTTGTATAACGATGGTTTGTTCTGTAGACTATCGAAAAAATAAATAGCTAAAAGGCTAATAATTTGACATTAAAATGTTTATATATATATATATATATATATATATATATATATATATATATATATATATATATATATATATATATATATATATAAAAGAAATAAAAACTGCTTTTATTCTAGCCAAAATAAAATAAATAAGACTTTCTCCATAAGAAAAAATATTATCAGACAGACTGTAAAAATTTCCTTGCTCTGTTTAAACATCATTTGGGAAATATTTTAAAAAGGGAAAAAAAATCTAAGGGGGGCTTATAATTCTGACTTTAACTTGAAATAGAGAAACAAACTGTGTGGCTGTATTATTACATATTGATAAATGTTCCGTTGCGGGTGATGATGTTTTGTAGTTGTTTAATGATGTGCAAGTGCAAAATCTTTTGGCTCATTTTCTTTGTAATGTGCTTTAGCTCCATTTACAATTCCTTCTCAGAATCAAGAAGACATTATATACTGTGTATATATATCATACGCCAGGAAGCTATCGTCAGCTCTGTGTGATTCACTGCTCGTAAAGAGCATAGTTGTACACTATGGTGTGAATAGGACATGAATACCTACGTAACAGTCAACCAGTGACTCACCAGTGACCAAGCTTTTGCTTTCCTGCACATTAATTCCACCTCCCTGCTCTCTCTCTCACTCTTTCCTCTCTTTCTCCCTGTTAATCTATTCTCTCTCCTCTTACCCTTGTCTTATAACATTTCCGCATCCTTCCTTCCTCCCTCCTCCTCCCACCAAATGTCTGTCAGAATGCAAAGCCGAGGTCATCCATAGGGATCCCTCAGGAGAACATGCAGAAATAGACATGTTGGCCAAAGGGTGGAAGAGTATATGTAATGGAAGACAGAGCAAGCTGTAAACAGAGTGAGTGCATGAGAAAAAAGGAGAGAGAGCTGGGAGACGGGGAGAGTTCGGGAGACCCCATCATCCCCCCGGAAGCCAAGGTTATTTCTGGAGCGCTGAGCAGCGAGTTTTGACACACAGTGACTGCAGAACCACTGGTTGAAAGGCCAGAAGTGACTGACACGCAGACGAGAGTGGTTGTGATGTGGAGACAGGACTCAGTCATTCGCTGATGTTACTGATGCTGACTGGCGGAGAGACGATACCCAAGCCTCTCCTTGAAAACCTCACACCCAGCCACCCGCTGCCCTCTGGGGAAAAACAAATGAAGCGGAAGGAACTATAGAGCCAGCTTTATACTTCCTGATGCTGGAGCTGCATGGGTGATGCTGCCTTACTAACAGATGGAGAGATCGGAGCTAAATCTGTGTGTGTGTTAAAGTTAAACAGCAGCGACGCAAGATTGTGATGAAGGATAATTGTTGATGATTAATTCCTTATGGTACTGTAGTCGCATTTATGAATTACTGTACAAACATTACAACGTGTGCTGGAGATTCAGCTTGGAGATCAGAAAACAATTAACTGCGATTTCCTTAATGTAGGCCAGTGTTTAGTCCTACTATATTTGAAGTTACCCTCACAGGGATAAAAGAGCAGGTTTTTATTAATGGACTGCATTTTGTTAAAGGCAAAATTATTAGCCCTTCTAAGAAAATGTATTTCTTTTTTAAACATAAAAAGTGATACAGAACAAAAAATTGTTCACAGTATTTGAAATATCTGAAGAAAATTTAACTTCTTTTAGTTTCGCTAGAATAAGATTTTTTTCAGATGAACTTTAAGGTCAATATTATTAGCTTTTAAAGAACTTCCCACCCCCCAGTAGGCTACAGAACAAACCACTGTTGTCTAATGCCTTAATTAACTTGCTTGGTTAACCTAATTAATCTAGCTAAGCCTTAAGATGGCACAACACTTGTATCTTGCTAATTAGTTATTAGAAATTAGTTATTAAAAGTGTTGAAAAATCTTTTGGAAAAAAAAAAAATCTGAAACATCACTTGGGATTTTTTTATTACATTTTTCACAGGAAAGCTAATCATTTTAAGCACATAATAACCTTTATTTAACCTCAGGCTAACCTTCCAGTATTTACTGATTTTGTAAGGTGGTGTGCCACTCTAAAGTGACTAAGACATCCGAGCCTCTATTGCTCAGTAATTCAGAGCGGAGTTAAGATTTGGAAAGCCCACTTTGCACTGACCAGACCTCTCATCAACAGAAAGAATAAAAAAGATACAAAGCCCATGAAAAAAAAAAAAAAAACTATATACAAAAAGTTCTGCAATTCTTGAATGTTTTGAGACATAAGACACTTTTCCAAAGTCTCAGCAATGTCCCCTTTTGATGGGTCTAACTCTAAAAGGATACTTTTAAAATGGAAAACTTCCAACCCTTCATGTTTCAAAGAGTGGATGTGTGATTTGTATCAAGTCATTCAGCTCGAGAGGATAAACTCCTTGGAACCAAAGTTTCAACACCAATTTAAAACTGTATGGCAACCTTTTCTGGATTTCCTCAAAACACATAACTGCTATGCCAACAATTTATTGGAACGATTGACCATACTCTCATAATTACATTTGATAATTATGATTGCTTTGATTGGTAAATGCCCCAAGTTTTGTTATATACTCACTTTAATTAATATTTTTATTGTATTATTTATTGCTGGGGTTGCTATGTTTATGCCAGATGTCCTTTATAATGTTTTTGTATGTAAAAAAGAAAAAAAGGATAAATATATATATATATATATATATATATATATATATATATATATATATATAAACATCCACAGTCCTGTGTTTCAGCTCTACTTTTAATGTATTGAATTTATTCATTCATTCATTTTCTTTTTGGCTTTGTTCCATTATTAATCTGGGGTTGTCACAGTGGAATGTTCCAGCATTTGTTTTACGCAGCGTATGCCCTTCCAGCCGCAACCCATCACTGGGAAACATCCATATAGACTCATTCAAGCATACACTACAGACAATTTTAGCTTTCCCAATTTACCTATAGCACATGTCTTTGGACTTGTGGGGGAAACCAGAGGATCCGGAGGAAACCCACACGAACATGGGGAGGCTTAATCCAGGACCTTCTTGCTGAGAGGCAAACGTGCTACCCAATGCGCCACAGTGCAGCCCCATGTACTGAATTATTTAAAAAAGAAAAGTTCCAAAAACGTGTTTTTTGCTAAACACTAGGCTTTGGTCAACGAAAAACCAAACAATGCTGGTCAACCATGTCGCATATTATGAAAAACAAAAACTACCATGGATTACAGAGTCTGTGTCACCAATAAAGAGCATGCAGGATATCAGGACACAGGAGTTATAGCAAGATAAACACATATCTGGGATTTTTTTTTATCAGTCGGGGGTGGAAGACCCACCCCTTACTGACAAAGGTTCAGAATTTGTTCTATATACTTATTTGTCCTATTTTGACTGCTAGTCAAATAGTAAAAAAATAAGTCATTAAGACCAAACAGAATCCTCTGTTGGCTGTCTCTCTCTGGTGTGACTTCAGCTAACCAGTTTTGATCAATACAAACAATTATTTTTCCTGAATCCAACAGCCAGTTGTGCAAGAAAACAAACGATCTGACATAAGTGAAGTCATCTTTTACTACTGTATTGTGTTTAAATGAAGGAAAGAGTTTACAAGTAACTTTTATTCTAAATCTTAAACCTTATTACTGGAACTAAAAATGACCAATGAAAAGGTGTGAAGCACCAAAAGCGGCCCATATTAAAAAAGTTTTGAATACCATTTTGCCTATTATTGTTATCCATGAATTTTCAAATGTTCTTTTTCCAAGGTAGGCTAGAAAAAATGTGAAGATCTACATAAGCACGGTGATGCAGTGGGTAGCACAATCGCCTCACAGCAAGAAAGTCACTGGTTCGAGCCCTGGCTGGGTCAGTTTTTGTTTAGAGTTTGCATGTTCTCCCTTTGTTCGTGTGGGTTTCCTCTGCATGGATGCTCTGCTTACCCCCAAAGGTCCAAAACTATATGTGAATTCGGTAAGCTAAATTGTCAGTAGTGTACAGTATGTTTGTGAATAATGTTTGTGTATTGATGTTTCAAGAGATGGGTTGCGGCTGGAAGGACAAGCTGGATACGTTGGCGGTTCATTCCGCGGTGGCTACCCCTGATTAATAAAAGGACTAAGCCGAAAAGAAAAAGAATGAATGAAATATTGTTATGTTTACATTTTTTATTATTCAAATGCTCAAATTCTGACTGAAGACAGTCGAATGTACTGGCCAGTTTCTTATTTGCTTAATAAACAACAATAGGCTACAGTTTTTAATTTAAAACTTTAACAGATTCCTATTTTTTTCTGATGTTATATATGACGTAATAAATTTGCATTTGAAAAATAAGTACTCAATTCATATTCCTTTATTTTAAATCTTTAGGAAATATATTTGGTATAGGCTCCAATAAAAAGTGTGGTTATGATGACTGTCCAACAAGCTAATCCAGCATAGTGCTTAAAATGACACCAAAGTGCAGTATTTAAATTTAACAATTAAATAGAAAATGGGGCAAATAACAGCAAAAAGGTCCACTTTTTGAGAAAAAAGAACAACCCCTTTTACCAGGCTGGCTACGGGCCCGACACAGGACTACATATTTACCTAATTAATGTGTGGTTCTCAGTCACTTAAAGACTAGCAAATTGCAGACGTTTGAATGACGTAATCAACACTTTCGATGTGGAAAATATAATTATAATCTTAAACGTACTGGATGATGCCACAGCGCAGACAGCTGATTGTGCTGTAAACAGGAAAGAATCTTCAGAAATGAATGAACTGCGGGTCTTCAGGTAGACCAAACGACCTTGTAAAGGAAATGGTAAGGGTTCTGTGAAAAAACCATTCTGTGTAACCGGATGTAGTGAAGGGGAATCTGAGGTATGCCTGGTGCCTCCCCCGCCCATTTTCTCGCCTCCGCCGTTTCTGTCATCTCGACGCATCTCCTCTCGAGCACCGCGACTAGTCCTTCATCTACCTGGCCGCTCATAAAGCCATTCCTGCTCGCTCAACCGGGGAAACTCCACAACACAACAGTGCCGCAGACGTAACGATGCCAGATACCGAATAACGCCGAGGAGAAAAAAAAAATCCTTAAACCACAGCGAGCACAAAGTCACGCTCCGATACGCACGACCACACGCGCGCACGGGAGAGAGCAGTTCACGCGCGGCAGATGCTTCCCCGTCCTCGCTGAGATGATGGCTCTGTGGACGCTCTTCTGCATCCTCGCCATTGTGAAAAGTAAGTTATCTGCTCAGAGCGACGGGAATGAGTCTTTTATTCGCGAAACTAGACGTTCGGAACGCGGGTTTGTTCCTCGAGTATACATAGTCGTATGATATGCTGTCAAAAAAGAAGGATGTTTGAAAACAGACCGTAGTTCTTTTTTAGGAGATGAAGAGATGTTGGGCGGTGGACTATAAATCTGTAGTCACCCATTGCAATGATGTGATGATATTCATTTATGACCTCAGTGCATCATGTTGATATTTCCTTGTCATCCCGTAAATTGCGCACACGCATTATTATAAAATCGCGGCGGCTGCGTGTCGGGCTGTTTCTCATTGTGCGCAGAAGTGCTGAGCAGCGGTTATGATAATAATACACATCATTATTGCAATGAGCCGCAACCGCCACTACTGGCGAGATGTGATTTTTACACTCTCTGGGGTTGCCTTTTGACGAAGATCACATTTAATTTGTGTTTATCACTCGCTGGAATTAATTGGATGGCTGCAAAAGCTTGTGTGAAATTGATATGTTCATGTTGGTTGCAGAAATGGCTGGAAGTGTGCGTGCGGGGAAACGTAAGACATGGGTCTTTAAGCCCCTGATGCATGCATTATTAAATCACTACTGAAAAAGAAAAGTTTAATGTTTCGTTTTACTATAAAAGAAGAATATAATGATCTCTAAACATTAAATAAATTTGGGATTGTGTTTAATTGTATTTAAAAGTGAAAATATGCATGTGTGTAAGATAGGAGTTTTGGATTTTATGCAGATTTTAAATAATGTTTTTATTTCATTAATTAATTTTCATTAATGTCTTATTTATATATTTTATTTTTGTCACATTTAAAATAAATCAGTATTCTAAAATTTTATCATGATTTACAGAAGACACACAATAAAATATCATTCCATGTCACAAAAGATTATACACATCAAATATTACTGGCATGCAAATTAATTTAATTTGATGACATATTAAATTACATTATTTTAGGATCACAATGTAATTGTGTTAATTGTAATTTTTTATTATTATTATTATTTTTATTATTATTATTAGTAGTATTATTAGGGGTTTTCACATTTATTATATAAAACAGTGGCATTTTTTTAATAGACAGAAAAGTATGGGGAGCAGTGATAGGGAAAGGATTGGCAGTTGGGAATCAAACTCAGGTCACCGTCTGTTACACTGTAATTTATCTGTTACATTGAATGATTATGCAGCATTGGTGCATTTAATATGTACATAACACCACTTTGGTAATTGGTAATTTAATTTGATGCAGACACTAAAATCGGACGTCTCACCTTTCACCCATACTGAAGGATAAGATACTTAATGAATTCTAATCTCTAATTAGAACCGCATACTCGCTTTTACACAGATCTTCAGTGTCTTTAAAATGAATCAGTGCTGTTACTCTACTTTTGCATAATAAAGAAATTATATTTATTTTATTTTAAATATTCTTATATCAAATAGTCTTAGAAATAAGCATCACAGGCCAGAATTGAACTGAAATCCTTGGTGTTCAATGTAGTGAAAAGATGTATTTTCAATGTACTAAGCAAATAATGCTTGAATCAATATGTAGAAGCTCTTATTGTTTTTCCACACTGTACATATACAGTAAATATAGAAAGATAGAACTGATATAGTCAAAGATTCATACATGTTGAAATGTAAAGTACATGATTCAATGCCCCGATACACTCATGGTAAAGTTCTCTTGCCTTTATCAATCAGAAGTAAACATAAGGTAATATTAAACATAAGTTAACATTAACAATGGTTGGTAATAAGAAAAAAAAAAAAAAACTTTGGAGTGTTATACTGATAACATACCTCAGTCTTTTTATTACAAGCAGTTTATGCATTGGCAATGCAAAAGTGATTTATATATGCAAATATGATTTATTTATTTAATATTCTTGCATATTTCTTACCTTGATGAACTGGATGTAAAATAACATTCTGAATAGTTAAAAGTAGATTTCAAGGGATTTAGACTGTGGCGATGCTCGTAAAATCGTGACACTGTAAACATAATTTTTAGAGCTACAGTCGTTTGTATGAAAGGATACAAAAGATTTTAAAAGCTTAAAACGGGATCACTGTAAAATTGACAACCAAAACATGATTTTGTAGTATTTAGTTAGTAAACATGAGTTTTAGAGTAGTTTTTAGAGTAAACATGATTGTAGTTTGAATCATTTAAAATAACTTGCTTCATTTGGAATCAGACTGTTGAGATATTACCACATTTTATGCTATCTGTACTTTTTATTTCTTTCTGTGATGTAATGATTGCAATTCCTCCTTTAGAGACAAACTGAAGAAGCTCAGTATGAAAAAAAGTGCACATGTACATACACACACACACACACACACACACACACACACACACACACACACACACACACACACACATCGCATACTGGTGAAAATCGGCTTAGGTCCTCCATTCTAAGTGTCAGACCCCAGAAGGCTAATTCAGTTAATTAACTCTGACTACAAGCAAATGAGTAAAAGAACGAGTGACCGTCTGATGTGTAGTGAAAGGTTTGTTAGGGTCAGCAAAAAGGAGGGTCTTCACTCCACCAATCTCATAATCCACTTTTTCTGTTTGAGCTTAAGGCATAAGCATGTTTTCATAACAACAGAGTAAGGACAGATAAAGCACTAATACATTAACATAGTGTATTAGACTTATAAAGCACTTAATGCAGTAACCCACCTAGTCACATTAGATCATCATTAACTGGAGAGGACTGAAAGGGTTGTTATGGTGATGAACAGACATGCGTCCAGTGTGTGAATGACTGGGGTTATGTAATGCACACATAAGGACTATAGCATTGGTCTGAGGCCTGTTCGCTCATTAAGTGGCATCAAGTCAGAAGCATTGACCTGTACTACATGTTGAGCTTTTTTAAGCTACAATGCAACACTCTTTACTGGTGAACTCATCTTTTTGGAAATTATTTCTTACAGTGCTTACTCTTTTCAGGAAAATAGTCACCATTCTTTGCCATTTCCAATGCTGATTTTCTGTTCTGTTGCTAATTTAAAAAGGGAAAACATTGTAGTAAATGTAAAGTGACAGTTCGTCAAGAAATCAAAAATGATTCCAGTGCTTCCCACACATAGACTTTACTTGGGCGGGCCACCCAGGTATATTAACGGCCGGCTAATTATAAATTAGTGACATGTTTTTTTGTTTTTTACTATTATTATTATAGTTTTACACTTTTTTTGTATCCGCCTAACATAAACAAACCTCTGCGAGTGATTAAGTAGTGGAAAATCTTCTCTCCTTTACCGGTTTCATACTGCTTGTTCTGTGGCAGTCAGACCCACAGAGACCTGCACCTTTTTGCATCCGGCCGGTTAGGGTAATTAGGCAACTTATTGTATAATGATGGTTTGTTCTGTAGACATTCGAAAAAATTATAGAGCATAAAGGGGCAAATAAATTTGACCTTAAAATGTTTTTTTATTATTATTAAAAATGCTTTTATTCTAGCTGAAATAAAACAAATAAGACTTTCTCCAGAAGAAAATATATTATCAGACGTAATGCGAAAACGTGTTTTCATAGTTTAGTTTAGTTAGTTTATTTATATAGCACATTTATTACAACACAACGCTGCCCAAAGTGCTGAACACACTCAATGCTAAATAAAATAAAACCTACATCACATACATAACAATTAAAACATAAGGCAAACCTCTCAACATTAAAAAGGCTCAAATGCTAAAGAACAAAGATGGAGTATCAGATGCTTTTTAAAAACAGATAGAGTTGGAGCATGTCTAATGTGGGGTGGAAGCCTGTTCCAGAGTTTTGGGGTGATTACTGCAAAACCCCGATCTCCACTTTGCTCACACCAGAACCTTGGTACCGAAAGAATAAACTGATCAAAAGACCTTAGTGACCTCTGACCTCTTAGTGAGGTCTGATAAGTAAGGTGGTGCCAGATAATTTAAGGATTTAAAAACAAAAAATTAATAGTTTAAAATCAATCTGTGACCTTACAGGCAGCCAGCCCAGAGAAGAAAGGACTGGGGATATATGCTCATACTTGCGAGTTCCTGTCAAAGTCTCACAGACATATTTTGTACTAATTGCAATCTATTCAGGGCATTTTGACTAATATCAACATATTGAGAATTGCAATATTCAAATCTTCCCAAAATATAAGCATGAATCACCTTCTCAAGGTCATTAAAAGAGAGAAATGACTTCACTTTTGCCACAAGTTGTGAATGGAAAAAACTGGATTTAACAATCGAATTTACTTGTTTTGTTAAATTTCACATCCCATTCGAAATGAAAGGTTTTTTCTAGCTCTGTTAGACATGATTTGGATAAAAAAAATTCAAAGGGGGCTTATAATTCTGACTTTAACTGTGTCAATATACTGTATGTCTTAAAATGTTTTAATATATATTAAATCTGTTAATTCAATTTGGCTAATTACCGAACAAAGCACATTTTCTGTTATCCAGTGAAATATTTCTTCCCAGCAAAAGTGCTTTCCAGGCATATAGCAGGACAAAAAGGCACATATTCATAGGCATGCTCCCAGCCAAAATATATGGGGAATCAATACTCAGCTCCTCTCACCTCGTCCATTCTGCCCACGCTTTAACTGTAATTAATGTCAGCAACTCTGTCCTGGCTCTGCTTTGCTGTGAACGTCTCCTCTCTTTATCAAGGAGGAGCAGATTTGGCAGTGATTTGGACTAAATACAGCCCCAGCCTTGAGGGAGCCATAAAAACAGACAAAGCCTGTTGTGGAGTGACTTATGGTCCACCTTTATCTCACGGCTGATCGATGGCGGAAATGCAGAGGGTCGAGTCCTTTCCACCTCCTGCATTAAAGCTCTGCTGCAAACTCACAGCCAGACTTTAAAACATACCGCTGCATAAGCCAACGATGATAGCGATGTATGAATGTTTTCTCAAAGAGGCAGCGGATGGTGGAACAGCAGGCAA